GGACAAACAGCAAGTTAAATATAGACAATGATGTCTTTAGTAACTAATTATTTTATTCAAATTTTTCCTTATTTAAATGTTTATCTTAAAGCAAATCAATACTCTTATAGTGCAGTAAAAAAATTTTAACCAAGTGGTTAGTTTTCATTGCCTATATATTTGGTTTCATTGTCATATTTAGCTCCTCAATCCCAACTTCATAGGCAAGAGTGAAAATGTACATCTTTTAATATTGATGCAGATGGTTATTCATTTTCTGGGATAAAATAAAAGATCAATGAAAGGCAAGAAGAAAAATGGTTTTAGGTTATTTTTTAAATAGCTGACACAGACTAAAAGAAGAAAATGATATTTTCAAAATGCAAGGCAAAATTGATTCTGTCGCTAATTTTAGCATCATAAGACTCCAAGCAGACACCACTTTTATTCTCTCTCCATTCCATTTTATGTATTCCAACCTTCAATTATATCAAGTTACTTTTACCATTAATTATTGCTTCTCAAAATAATATTGAGGTATGTTTATATACCTAAGAACAGTTTACTTCTACAAATTAGTGATTGAATTATAAAAATGACAAGTCACTAGATATTTTTATTTCATTGGAGATAATGAAGGGAGATATCACAGTGCAAAGTCAACATCGGAGAGTTTATTTGATTCATGTAAACCTCTCATGTCTTTTAGGATTTCCTAAAATTGTTTTTTAATAGTTTTTTTTTTTATGCTAAACCAAGAATGGAAAGAAATAGGATTTTTATTAAAGATGCTCAATAACAGTTGTCCTGGATTCCAAGCTTCTGAGCCTTTTGCATGTCTGAAGTATTCCATATTTCAAACATGTCAAAAAAAAAAAAAAAATACACATAGTAAACTTTATCACATGATAATATCTTGGAATGTGTATAGCTGTATTCTGGTGCAATTATAAATTTGTTTTCAGGAAGAAGCCATCACAGAATTGAGTCACATTTTGCTGTACAGAATTTAGCTTGGTAATCATAGCTCTCCACAATTCCCTGTCCTTTGTAGCTCTTAGACATTTTTTTTTCTTTTTATTACCTCTCTTAAACCCTGTTCTGCCATCTATTTATACAAGCTCGTTAGGTGGGTTATGCACTCTTTTCCTCTGTCTCTCTTGCCTTCATATGTCCTGTGAATGTCAAATTTTTCAAGCCCTCTTTCCTCATTCTGTGCCCTAGAAATTTCAACTGTCTCTTTCTGATGTTAAGTATAAGTGTCCTTTTTGTTTCCATTTTCTCCAAAACTTTGTTGTTGCTCACATATTCAGTTCATGGCATTCTCAGCATCCTTCTGTAAAACCACATTTCTATTACCTCAGTTTCTTCTTTATCTGTATGGAGATTGTCCAGCATTCATTGTCATATAGAGGGACTGATATTATGTAACAGTTCAGTAGTCTTTTCTTTGTTTCTAATGAAATTTTCCTGATTCTTAATACTTTGCTTAGCTTTTGAAAGGTATATTTGAAAAGAGGTAGGAGTAGATAAAACTTAAAAATCAACAAACTACTGATTATTGAACAAAATTGATTTGGGCTATTTATAAGAATTTGATGGCTTGGCTTAAATATAACTGAGAATAATTTATTTAGAACTTTAATTGGATGAAAAATATTAATGCAACATCTTATGTGCATTTTTATTGGCTAGAAAATATCAATATGACAACATTCAAAATTAGAAAACTGTTTTGATCCACTTTTATTTTTTTAACTCTGTGACCTTTATATTTAAATAGGAAGTTTAGCATTTGCTACAATTATTCCTCAAGGTTGGCAAATGTCAACATGAAGATTCAAATTTAGTCAGCCCATGATCCTCTTTTTGCCCCCATGATCCAGTTGAAATTGACAACATACTATTTCAATTCTGTGAATCTGTCCTGGGAGCCACTCAAGGTAGAGGGTTAAGGAGCAGTTTATATGGAAAGGATGGGAAGATAACGGTTAACTCTAGACTTGAACAGGTTAAGATTGTATTGATGGTGGAAACATCCTCTTGGGAGTCTGTCCCTCCCAGAAAAAAGCTGTGGAATTTACTTCTTGTCAGTGGAATACAGAGGAATGTGGGTGGTTTGCCACTACTATATAAGTGGCATGGCAGGTCCTAGCCATGACAGAACCAAGGAATATAGTTTGTCCTGGTACTTTCTGTGGAAATAGCAATATAGCAGTGAGAGATTGGCCACATCCCGCCTGTGAGAGAGAGGTTAAAGGGTGTAAAATAATTCTTCTCCAACAAGGTCTCGGAGATACTTTTGAACTCTATCACAATTTTTATCAGTTTCCTCAGCTTTGTTTTAAATTTCTTTCTCCCATATTAATTATGGTTAATAAGCTATACGATATCTAGCATTTTACTGATCTGTAGACATTGTTGCTTATTACCTAATACCCTATCCATTACAATGAAGTAGCAAATTCACCTTTTCTTTTCTGTATAAGGAAAATAAAGCATTTAATTAATGTGGTTGCATTTGATGTGTTACTTATCTGAGAGAGTTAAGATAAGACCTACCTAAAACCAATAACTGGCAGTCTAATATCTAAAGGTCAGGGAATGATTTGAACTCAGTGGGATTGATCATGGCAGTGACAACAAAGGTAAGGTTAGAATGTTATTTGACAGTTTAGTAGTTTAAAGCAATTTTAGTTCTAAGAAAGCATGTAGGTGGGAGTTGCTATGATATAGGCTATTTACCATGATTCCTTTCTTTACACTGGTTTCTCTACTTCCTCACACAATTCTGATTTGACCCATTTCTATTCTGTCAATCTAATACTTTTCATTAAAATATTGCTTAATATTTTTTCTATCTCCATACTTCAAGATTACTCAACAATTTAGAATACTTGACATAATCTTCAGGTATTTGTTAGAAAGTTTATTTTAGAATGAATTTTTTTATTATATATTAATATTTTATAATTATAGTGTAGTGAACATGTCACATCAAAATTAGCTTATATTATTCTAGTTTTAAATAATGTAATGTTTATTATCAGTTGTGATTGATAATTTTATCCTGTCAATTTTTAACAAAGTAGAAAAATAAATCCTACAGTTGTGAAAAGGTGGAGAACTGTTCATGAGAAAATTGGCCAGAAAGTGAAAAAACTGACTTTTTACATGGGTTAGAAAATAAAACTTCATTCTTCCAATTTTAATGTACTTCAAAAAAATCAGAATGAAAAAATAAATTCAAATGTTTTTTTTCTTATGCAAAACTTCATAGCCATATATCTCTTTTTATATATATATATATATATATATATATATATATATATATATATACACACACACCTGGTGTAACAGCATAATTATCCATCCCACAAAATGTTTAATATCTAAAAAGATCCCACTAAACTAATTGAGTTTCTTTTTTCCAAGATTTTTAGATGTTTAGCCATTTTGACACCATTTTTCTTAAGAATCACTGAAAAATCTTTTGGATTATACAGTTAGAAAAGAACAGGTTAAAATTGTTTTGTGTCAGATCCATTGTTTTCCTAGCTAAGCAATGGTGAGAGGAAAAAGATCATTCAGGCCTTCAGTAATGATACCAACATTCATACTCTGGATTCCATCTTCAAAGTCCATTCAAGAGCCATCAAGAGATTGGTGAATAACTTGAAAAAAGAGGGAGCAGTAGAGAGTCAAAGTGGATCAGGAGGTCACAACAGGAAGAGGGATCATCATTTCAACTTAGAGCTAAAGAGATCAATTAGAAAAGATCCAACTTAATTCATAAGATGTTAGGCATGTACAAGATGAGTTTCAGCTATGACAGTCCAAGAGCAGTGAAAAAAGATCATATATGAAACCTACTCCAGGACAGAAAGTTAGAAGGTTAGAGAGAGTGAAGATCATCTTGAATAAATTGGAAAATGATCCTGAAATAAAATATATATCTATATATATATATATAATGTGTGTGTGTTCACTTTATTTCAATACTTCATGAGCTTCCAATCTTTAGCTATGATTAATTAATGATGAAAATGATATTTTCATTTATGATTGATTTCATCACAATTCTTCTGTTAAGCTTGGAAAGTAATTATACATTCTTATTGCTCAAAGTAGAGTCCAGTAGTGTTATAAAAACATCAGAGAATTCCAATAAGATATCTTTAGTCATTTCTAAGATAGGTTCAGAGCTTAATCTAACAATTAGACAATTATTACAACTCATAATTTATATATAGAATATGTGCTAATATATATATATAATATATATATATATATATATATATATATATATATATATATACAGGCAGTATATATATATATATATATATATAACCAAGTGTTGAATCCAAAGGTATCACCTAGCATGAGACATAACTTAGTTATTGTAGATTAGGAAATATGATTTTAAATTAATTTTAAATAAAGAAATAGCATCTATTCTGATAAAGGTGTCACCTTTTTGAATCTTAAAAGCTAGGAATTGTTTCATAAAATAGGATAAAGGGGAATAATTGTTAAACTTACTAGTTATTAAGAGGTTATGTAACTTTACATTTTAATGCAACTTTCATTGTTTTAATTCATTTTTCATGTTTTAGGTTAAACTATTTTGCAAAAAGCTTATCTTTTCTGTTGCTGCAGATAAATATACAATAAAACACAGACAAATGCAATTCAAGTATAAACCTTTTACAGGAAGCATAAAGTTCTTTCCTGATGTAAATTAAACATCAGGGAGGAACTTTCTGCTTCATAATATTATTTGACTAAAGAATAAATAAATACTGTTTATTTATTTGCATCTGTCAAAAGACAATATAAATAAAGACAAAAGGATAGTTTTTCTTTACCAACCTGTTTCATCTCCTGAGGGATTTTAACAATGAAGGCCAAGAGGGGACAAAACATGTTGGTAAAGAGAAGTTTTCCTTTTGTCTTTAAATCTTATGTTTTATAATAGTCTTGAAATTCTCTCTAATGTTTATATTCCCTGTTACTTTCAGGAAACAGATACACCTGAGCTGGATTTACCTGATGATGAGGAACTGGCAGAAGCTTTTGATATGCACTCTTTGATTATCTCTAGTCTAAACACTGATGAAGGTCATGTTGTCACTGCTGATGAAGTCATCAATGAAATAGAGAGCATGATGCAGGTAAATGCTTTAACAAATATCAACTTTAATCTATTAACATTATTCTGATCATTTCCTTTAATTAATACAACCATCATTTTTATTATGGCTTTCAAAACCAACCTTTTAAAAATTATATATACACATAATATATACAAATATATATAAAATAAGGGGTAGAAAGAGAAAAGATAATATTACACACTATAAAGTGGTAAATTGAAAAAAGAAAAAAACACCTTTATGGTGAGTAATATTTTTCCTTATTCTTCCTTCTTGCTTCAATATATTTGTATATATTATACAAAGATGTATTTTTTAAAAATGTCTGTTTTTGTACCCACCAAAAACCATAATTTTTATTTACAAGGAATGATAAAAATACAGCCTTGTTCAAACAAAATGTTTGCTACGTTTTTTACAGGTTCCAGATAATTTATTCATTACTTCAATTTATCATTGCTTTTCACACTTTTTAGAATTAGAATATAGACAAGAAAATATCTGTATCTGTTATACAAGTGACAAAAAAACTAGACTTACTTATATTCTGTTAATGCTAAAAAATATGTGTCTTTTGATTATATTGATGTACCTGAAATATTTTTTCTTTTTCATTATGTAAATATTTACATTTTGAAAAAATTGTACCCATCATCACTTTCAAAGTTATAAATAAATAAAAAATAACACTGGATTTAATTTGCTTCTTCATTTAATCAAAATGATCACTTTACAAGAAATAAATTATACATTATACACCTGCACACACCCAGATAGGTGGTGTTGCACACACAATCAGAAAAATTAATACCGTGTATAGGTTATCTCCCTTTGAATATATTTACATTTTTTCCCCCCCAGTTTAATTAAAATAAAAACATTTCTTTGAATGATACCACATGTAAATCATGGTTACTATAATTACATTTTGGCTGTCATACCTTCCAGCCATCTAGTGGATTGAATAAACTATTTTGGTTAAAATTCTGAGATGATGACAGAAACCTGAAGACTGGGAGGTACAGCAGCTGAAATATTATTATAATAACAATCAAGATGGGCATGCTCATCCAAATACAAACTTATAATAATAATAATAATCATTCTTCATCTCAAAAATTCTGGCATAAATAAAATTGATTTTTATAATATACACAATGAAATGCACAGTTAAAACAATTGCTGTACCTTGTCTTAAACTGTTATTTTTAAATGTTTGAATAGATTTTAATGAAATTTGGACAGGAGATAATATATACAATTTTTGAACCATCAATTTCACCAAATTGTCATATGGATTTTCTAGAACCATTTATGTGTGCTTTATTTTACCTATATTAATTATCAATAGAGATGGAAAGAGTGTACAACAAATAAAATTTCTAATCTTTTTTGCTTATTCATTTGAAATTAAATTGGATATTCTAATTGTATTTTTATGCAATTTTGTTACATTATAAAATGAGAAAATATACTTTAGTTTATCTTTTATAATTTTCCTTTGTTTTCTTATCTATAATTATCCTATATCTCATTATGTTAAAATATCAATTCTTGTATGATTACTGAAGTTAAGCAACATCAAACCTGGTCAGTACCTAGATAGGTGACCACTTGGGAATATCAGATGCTGTATGCTTGGATGTATGGTGGAGTAATGGATAACTGCTTGGAATTGGAAATCTGAGAGCCAAATTCCAATTTCAGTCAGGTTCATTATATTCACATGCACAAGTACCTTTGGGTAAGGTATGAATCCACCTCTTCTCCCTCAGCTATGGGTTAATTAGTAGGATTTGTATCAGTAAATCATCATTATCTCAAAAAAATTCTTACAATCTAAAAATATTTCCTGGCTTTAAATAACTTAAAAAGGTTTGGTAAGCTGCAAAAAGAACTAAATCCTTCAATCAATCTATATCTGAAAGTACAGAAAAGAATAGATTTATTTGTAATCTTTAAGAATGGTAAGCATTGAACAACAATCCACATATAGATGTTGGATTACTTGAGTATATGTTAACAATCTCCAAGTGAGAAATCTAGATTTTGGCATTATGTGCCCTGTTTTTGGCAAATGATACCTTATGGACATTACTAACAGAATAAAATGTCCAGTAATTAGTTACTGACTTTTAATGGGACTTTTAACTGATGAGAATACTTTGTTAGAATCTACTTGAAGTGAAATCTCTACCTTCTGTATACATGTAAGCTTTTAATATTTTTCATCTGAAGAGTAAAAGTATATTTCTATTATGAAACATTGTAATTTTGGAAGGAAAAAATAGAGAACTTCTGTGCCAATTAACTAAAATACAGTGGTTCTAAAACAGCTTTTAGATTCCTGTGTTTTGAACACTATTTGTTCATCTTTTATACAGGTGTAAATATTTTTACCTAACACTACAAAATTTTGTAACTGGATACACTTGTGAAATGAACAAAATAATATATTTTATTTACTACATTTTCATTATAGCAGCAAGCAATAAGATTCAGCTTTGGTTTCAAGCTTTAGGTGGAAAAAGTATGACAAAGTGGAAAAAGTTTCTGTGTGACTAGTTTTTTCCTTTATGACTTCAATGGGCTAAATTGATGTTTATGTTGATGCAACTATACATCTGCAAGAAGGAAATGGGATGCTGAGAATTTAAAGTTTTTTTTCTTTTTAATCCAGCTGATTTCATTTAGTTTCTTTTTATTACTTTTGTTATTAACCTTTAGAACACTACATTATTAATATTACTTCCCTTTTCATTGCATTCTTTTTCAAAGCCTCTCAACTGCAGTATCCTTATTATTAATTTCACTCACAATTATTTCTGTTGCCATAGAAGAATATGACAATACAACTATAAAATTAAAACTCACTATTGTTCAGGGATCAGTCACTTTCAGGATAAACTTTTTGTACAGCAAATGAAGTCACATACAGAGTGATAAAGGTTAAATATTCCACATTGTGATAATAGAAGATCTGCTGTGAATAGTAAAATTTTGTAAGAATCTGGATGCAAATTTACTGTAGATGATCTTTTCAAACTTTTGATCACTTATGCAGCTCACAATGCTGGTTATCTTATTCAATTATAATTAAAATTTTTACTTTAGTTATTCAAAATTTTTTTTTTTTTAGTAGAAGTAATATAAAATTATATAAGTTAATCATTGAATATTTATTTTCTTTCAATATTACCAGGATTCTCCTACTGAAGAATCACCTGAGGAGGAAGAAGAAATCTCTGAGGAAATGGATAGCTACATGAAAGTAAAAGAAACTTTGAAACATTTGCAAACAATAACTGAAACAGGTAAGTAACAATATGTAAAAATCATCATTTATTTGTGAGCGCAAATTAAAATTTGTGTTGGAATGTGTCACGAAAAAAAATGATTTCATCTCTTTCTCTCCTGCTGTCGTAGCGACGAACGCAGTCTCCACTTCTGAGACTGAAAACTACTCTCCTTCTCATTCCAGCCTTTCACATAGAGCTTGGTAACTCATCTATGCAAAACACCAAAAGCCAGCTACCAATCACAGTTCCCGCGCCTGCCCACCTCAACTCACTTTGGGGGTGTCAAGTTGACCGACCAACTAATTACACGCCCCTCTGATCTTAAGATCACAAAGCTTCTCAGTTCGAGAGATGGTTGCATCTGTCTAGTGACTGTGTCCGCATATATACAACTTGCATGCTTGACATATTGGGATAACCACACATGCGCGAACACGTTTGGTCCGAGGTGGCAGATGTCCCGATTCATCCCATGTCTCGCTGTCATGATCGCACACGGTGCAACTCGGGGGCAGGCCTCTTCTGCCGGGCACTCCTTCTGAATTCAGAGATCAGTTTTATGTCGAACAGTCTTTCCGCCATCTTGCTGGAGACAAAGTAAAGGCTGAAATAGCTTGTGTTGGAATGTGTCACGAAAAAAAATGATTTAGTCTCTTTCTCTCCTGCTGTCATAGCGACGAACGCAGTCTCCACTTCTGAGACTGAAAACTACCCTCCTTCTCATTCCAGCCTTTCACATAGAGCTTGGTAACTCACCTATGCAAAACACCAACAAGCCAGCTACCAATCACAGTTCCCGCGCATGCCCACCTCAACTGACTTTGGGGGTGTCAAGTTGACCGACCAACTCATTACAAAATTCTATGCTTTTAATGCTTTAAGAAATTCCTTTTCAATACTTTCAACTTTGTAACCATCCTTTTTACACTGTATTGTTAATCCATTAGACAATAGCAGTATTACATCATTTAGAATCGTCTAGGTAGGTACCACACAACCGGTTTTGTAAGGATAGAAAAAAACGAGGAAACTCCAGTTTCACCACTTCTAAAACCATGTAAAAATTTGGAATTGCTAGGCCATGAAATCATATTTCCATGGATCAATCAGAAGTGGTCACAACATAGCCTGGCAAACTAATCAGAATTGGTTCTGACAAGACATCATAGCTGGTGAGATAATTAGAGGCAAGATCTGTTCTCAACCAGGATATGACATTGCAGCTCACAAACCAATCAGAAGCTAACTGTAAACATTTTACATATATATATAATATGAGAGAGGGGTGGATGCAACAGAAATATATACCACATTAATGGCAATGGTGTCTCCATCTAGCTTAGTGGTTTTCAACATTTTTTTTAATGGCAGACCCCCATAACTATTCAATGAGGGGGGAAAAAAGCTTATTTTACTTTTTACTAATAGATAAGTTTAGGAATAGTAAATGTATATACTTTATTTTGAAGTAAAACTAATTTAATGAAAATAAACTAGTATTTAACAATTAATGAAAATAAATTTGTACTTAGCAATTTCACTGTTAACCCCCTCCATTATAATCCATAATTTATATATAAAATTAATTTTGTTATCAATATTTTATTTTTTTATATTTTATGTTAATTACTATTTTTACTATTTTCATATAGCATAGATTACTGTAGAAATTCCAATTCTCAGTTGTAACAACCATTCCAGAGTGAAATTGCTCTGTGGACCACTAAAATATTACTTTGGGCTCCAGTAATGTTACATGGACTCCAGTTGAGAACCACTGATCTAGCTAATATCTTACCATATATATATATATATAGTTACATAATATTCCTTTCATTAATATTCTCATCTTTATTTTCTCTTTCATTGTCTACCCTAGTTCTATCCTATGATTCTTTGATATCACTGAATGCTACACCTTGCTTAAAAGTGATCCAAAATTATTTAGGGACATTTAATTCTTTAAAGTATCTTGTAGATTTTAATAATTAAACATTTATAATTTCAATATGACTTTCACTCTATTTCAATCATTTAACACTAAAGCTAAAAGGTACACATTCAAAAACTGTCAACATTTGATAAGAGTTTTGCTTATGAGGCCAACCAACAACATTTCTATATTGAACAAATAAGATTTCTCCTGTACTCTCTTCAATGTAGTTTATTAGAGAGAGGGTACTAAAAAAAAGTTAGAGGTATTTAATGGAACTGACAGGAAGAATGAAAGTGAGTTATAATCCCCCTCACCATTTTTTTTTTTTTTTACTTATTTACATTTTTTTATATTGTTTCTAAAATTTATATTGAATATATTCTATTTACTTAAAAATTTTGAGCAATTCAGTCTTTTGAAGTTTTTTTTTTTAACATTTGTCTGAAAAGCTGTGCAATATTGCCTTAATGATTTTTTCTACTTTTAGCATATGTAATTGATCTTGTCCTGCAGTAGATAGATTTAAAATCATTTAACCTAATAATCTGATAATGTATCTTAATACCAATGAAATTAATCATGATTAAAATAACAAACTAGTAACGGAATCAGACATTTTTACTATTATAAGTAGCATGATTAATTTTAAGTTGTACATAAACTGTTTGTGTTAGGAAATGATTTGAGTTAGTCATCCTCTAAATTTGTATTTACAAACCAAATTAAACAGAAATATATCATATAATTCTGCTTGTTCCTCCATTAGTTTGCATGGGCATTGCCCTTTGCCGTTACCTCATATAAATAATGACCCATTCTATTTTGGTTGCAAAGAAAAATGGAATAAAAAGATATAAGATGCTGTTTGGTTTTAGTGGGGGAAAAAGAAAGCATACATAATAAGAAAGAAAGAATAAGGATATAGGGGAAGTGATAATGCTTGCATGCATTTAACATCTGCTGCAGTTAAATAAAAAAAAAATTAAAAAAATTTTAGCAATTTTTAATCATTGCATTTGTACTCTCTTACTTCTTTAAATAATAACCTGCCTACATAATTATGATTGTTGCTGTTAAAATATTTTATGAAGCAATAGAAAAACATTTAATGGGTATTTTATAGTCTTGGAACTTATTCCATTATTTTTTTTTTTTAATAATGTTCATATTGTACAAGGCCCAAGAGCCACTTGAGGTAGAGGGTTACAGAGTAGGAGGCACATTTTATGGAGATATGTGAGGGAGATAATGGTTAACCCTAGACTTGGACATATTAAGATTTTTGTGATGAAGGAAGCATCCACTTGGGAGTCAGTTTCACAAAGTAGCAGATTTGCTGCTAGTAATAATAATTATAGCGATGTAACTACATATTGGAAGTGTTGAAAAGTTCTCAGCCTAACCCACTTCCCAAAATCTGACCAAATGACCAAACAGGATTTTTTCAGCAATCCATTGTATATTGCTTCAGGTTTTTTTGTTTTTTAATTAAATTTTTTTTTTTTGTTTATTTTTTTTTAAGCCATCCTTGAAAAATTCTATAATAGATATAAAGACAGAAATCTACGGTATCCATTCAAACTTGATTAACTATATTATTAATTATTTAGAAAATTTATTTCATCTTATATTAGAAATGTGTTTTACCTTGTATCTATATAATAAATGCAAATGTCACTGTGTCACACTTTCAACTTTACTCCTAGAGGATGTAGTCCAACATATCATACCATTTTGGAATCTGGCTGGCTCCATGAGCAAATTAAAAACATTCTGGGCAATCCTGAAATTTTGTATTCAATTGCTTTTGGCATATTTTTTTTTTTTTTTTTATTTGTACAATAACAATTTTTATATTTTGGAAATAAATTTGGAAATAATTGAAATGCAAAGACCAGCAAGTCACCCATGAAATAAAAGTAATTGTTTGTATAGAAAGTCAAGACCTACATACATCAAATTGTCTTTAAATTAAGTGGTGGCAGAAGAATTATTGCTGAACTTTTAAAAGCTAAGCAATAAATTTTGAGTTCTTCTGTAGTTTAGTGTTGCCTACTGCATCTACTCCTCCCTACCTATTGTGATGAAGGCCCAATTAAGAGCCCTCCTCAGGAGCTATCTTAAATGTCACCTGAAAAGAAATAAAGTTTTAAATTCTCCCTTTAAAAAGGGAGTAAACTCTTCAATTTCTATTAAGACAGCATCATCACTTTTTGTTACTAGATTGGAAATAAAAATAAACTACTTAAATTTGTAATGCTAATTTGTATATCTCGGGGATAAAATAAGAAGTAGCCATGTTATTTGCAACAAACGCTTTTTAAATATCAGTTTTATAAAACCTGATTGCTGTAAAAATTATTACGCTTTGGTTCCTATTTAAAATTGGTTTTTCTATAGAAATGCTACTGGATGTAACGGTGCTTACTGTTGTGTTTGGATTAGACTTTGTCTCTTGGTAATTTGTGGCATTTTAATATGGGTAACTTCACATAGAAATACAACAAATTATGTAGTGTGATAACACGTTATATATATATATATATATATATATATATATATATATATTTTCCCAACCATGTAACAACAAAAGAAGTTTGTTGCAACCATGTTAAACACACAAATTCATTCACTAGCTCAATCACGAAATCTTTCAAAATCTACCACGATTACAACTGTAGAAGTCATAACATAATTTACCTCCTAGAATGCACACTATGCCAGAAACAATATGTAGGAAAATTTGAATGGCCCTTTCACTACAGAATTAATAATTATCGCACTCGAATTAGGTCAACTCTCCATGAAAAATTATTACCTGTAGAACAACATTTCTGCCTGGAAAAACACGATTTCAAAACCCATGCCAAATTCACTATAATTGAGAGAATAGAAACGTTCAGAGCAGATAACATTAGAAAGATTTTAGAGTCCCGTGAAAATAAGTGGATATGGTTATTGTTCTAACTTCAAATGCTTTGGTTTATGTATCAGTTACAACAAATTTAGTATAAGAGATAAGGAAATTGAACATAAAATAGGCTGTGCTATGGGTAGATTCACCCAACACCAAAAATTGCTACAAAACCCAAATATTAACCAAAAGACTATTGTCATAGCATCAGATTCATTCAAAAATATTAAAGCTGTGTACAACCATCAATAATCAGATCAATAATTAAAAATGGCTTTGAGTGAGTGAAGCATGTAGGTCTTGGTAAGAACAATCCTTCCTCAAACCTTATACACTGGTGTTACAGAATCACAAACTGTACCAAATAATGGAAACCCCATCAACTGAGGGCTTTAAACAGCAATGGCTGTGAGCCATATCATGTTGAAACACCAGTTCTTGTACAATCACTGAAGTTAAGCAATGTTGAACTTGGTCAGTAGGTAGATGGATGACCCCTTTGGAACATCAGGTGCAGATGGTGTAATGGATAATGGCTTGGAATTGGAAATCGGAGAACCAAATTCTAATTCCAGTCATGTCCGTTATATTCATTTATGTGCAAATATGTGTGGGAAAAGTATGAATACACCTCTTCTCCCCCCTCCAGTTAATTAGTAGGACTTGTATCAGTAAATCATTATCTCCCCCCCCCAAAAAAAAAATTTTTTTACGATCTTAAAGTATTTTCTGGCTTTAAATAACCTGCAAAAGGTTGGTGAGCCTTAAAAAAACAAATCAACAGTAGCAACAACTAAAATGAGTAGCACATATAACTCAAAGAATAATGACATAAAATGCTGACATTTTTTTTCCTTGATCTTGATAAAGGCTAGAAGTATGTTTGAAAGCAATATATCAACCATTTGGACAATATTTACATTCAATGGATTCAAACTTGTGCTTTTTTTGCATATAAACAAAAGTTAACTAAAGATAAAATAATAAAAAAAAACAAACAACTTCTTATTGTCTTTCAATCAAATTTGTATTAAAAGACAACTGCCTAAATACACATTATTATAGGGACACATGTTATTATAGCACATCATTATGATCATGATATTTTTTAGTACAGTTAAGAGTCTAAAGATGATTCCATTAATTGCCTATTCAGTAGAACAATCAAAACAAATTATCTTAAATTTCTTTCTTTAAACTACTAGTTTGTTTATGGGACATTTAATGCTGAAATTTAATTTTCTTGAGAGCATTAGTAATTTCATTTACAAAAATGTATTGCTGGTAATTTTTTTACTATGAAAATATTGCTAGTATTTTTACTATAAAAATGTATTTTTCATACTTTCATAGTATTTGCTCATAGTTGGGATCCTAACTGGTGGTACCACCCTAGGTTTGGGTGAACCTGGGAACAACAGCAGTTAAGAGGTGGTTCCATGCTCCTCAAATCCTTCCAATCAGAGGCCTTGTTGCCAGATGTAGTTTAGTCATACCCAGGATGCTAAACTACTGGTTAAATATGGAATTGAAAAATATGGATTGAATCCAAAAAAATGATTAAATAAGAAACGGACAAGAAAGACTTTATAAATTTGACATGTTTCACTACTTTTATTTTATCGGAAGTTCTCTCATTCCCAGAAAATTCTGATGAAGTTAAAATGAAAACGAAACCTGTCAAATTTATAAAAGACTTTTATTTATTCCTTATTTAATCAGATTAAATAGTTTAATGTAATTTTTTCAATAGTGTTGAAAGACTATTATATTCACTGATGATATATCTGATAGTATTATGAGGTATACATCAGTCCATTTTGATGCTTTCATACAAATATCTACATCATGTAGACACTTCATATAAAAAATAAATTATTTTTTACTTGCAGAAATGAAAAGTATGTCAACGGTGGCTTTGAATGAGTTGCTGGCTCAATTTGAACTCACAATCAAGGAGCTTTCTGAAACTCTGGTAACTGAACTGGCCTTAAGAGATGAGCTGGAATATGACAAAGAACTGAAAAACCAGTTCATTTCCCTACTGCTGATACTCCAGAAGAAAAGGCGAGAGAATAATGTGGATAAGAAGAAGAAAAAAGTTAAAGTGAATAATGTACAACAACCTGAAGGTGCTGGCACTGTAAGTAATAATATTCATTATTATTATTGTTGTTTTAATTATTATTTGAATACATAGGTAAAATGTCTACTTTGAAGTAATTTGAAAATGAAGTCATTAAATTAACGTAATGATAAACACTTGCAGATCATTAATAGTTAATGTTTGAAATTTTAACCCTTTTTCAAATCTCCAAAATTAAAATTAGCAATATAAATTTCCCAGATAACTTTTTAAAAAATTTTTGTGGGTGAAGCATTATCAGTCATTACTAATTTTGGCTAGTAATCTTTCATTGTAATTTTAGTTGCTTTTTATCCCAACTTGGACCAGTCTATGGAAGCAAATAAACAGAATAGATTGGAAATAATAAGAGATTCATTTCTGGAGCTGCTGCTCCAGTTAACCACGCTCCCCTAAATCCAATAGAAGTTATCCTCTTTTATTTCCTATCAACTCTGTTTATTTGCTGCCATAGATTGATAGCTCATGTCAAGTTGGGATATATGGTAACTAAAAATTAAAATGAAAGAAAATTACCACCTGCCAAATTTAATGGATGATAATGTCTCCTGAAATTTCTTGCTCATTCTTAAAATTAATATTCTAAAGATTTGACTATGGACTGAAGTTTGATATATCTCAAGATTGATATCCTAAAACAGGAAAGGGGGCTTAAAAGAAAAAATATTCTGAATGCAATGTACTATGTATGTTATATTTAAAACCATGTTATATATATCTTTATTCTTTTTTTTTTTTTTTATGCTAGTATTTGACTACAGTGATTCCTTATAATCCTCATCTTGGGCCACCAGCCTCTGAACAGCTCCAGATTTATATAAAAAGTAAGTTTATATGTATATATCTGCTATACATATGTTATTTTATAAATTTCAACCAATGGTAAAGCTGTTTGGTCAATTTAATGCCAAATGTTCCTGCATAAAAATGACTATTTCCCCATTGCCATTATAATTTTGAATTGAATCCTTGCTCCATATTAATTATTAACCTTAGAAGGTTATACATCTAAGATTTTATCCTTACCAATTTGATGGATTCATTCAATTTTTATAGCTTTTGCAAGTTATTTCAAGCCAGAAAATATTTTGAGATTGTATGATTTTTTTTTTTTTTTTAAATAATAATTTAATGATACAAGTCTTATTAATTAACCCATACCTAGGTGGGGTAAGAGGTGGATTCATACCTTTCTTAAGAGTATTTGCACGTAAGTGAATATGGAACTCTGATCTCTGATTAACAATTCAGAACCATTATCCATGACGCCACCTGCACACCCAAGCTTACAGCATCTGGTATTCCTAAGTGGCCACCCATCTAGGTACTGATCAGGTTCAATGTTACTTAACTTTGGTAATCATACAGGAAGTGGTGTTTCAATGTGATGTGGCCATAAGCCTTAACAAATTTGATATTATTTATAGAGTATGATAAACTGAATATCAGGATTTTAAAGTTTTAGTAAATGTTACTATGAATATTTGTGAATTCTACTTTATACCTTAAAGCACTCCTTCCCAGGGTGTGTCGGTGGTGTAATGGATAGTAGGTCAGAATGAGAAATTGGAGAGCCAAGTTCAAATTCCAGTTGAGGTCATTACATTCACTTATATACAAATACTCTTTAGAAAGGTATGAATCCATCTCTTCTGCCCCAACTAGGAGTTAAATAACAGAGTGTGCTGGGCCTTTAGCTTTGGTTGCCAACCAGCCTGGGAGAACAACTCCTCTGAATTCAATCTGGTTGGGCATGGTGCTAGCAAGTTCAGTTCATCTTGTAAAATCCTACTTGCTACGGGAACCATAGCAGCAATGCCTAGCATGGTGCTTTGGTCCTATACTCTCCAGTGGAGAGAGAGTGTGTGTGTGTGTGTGTGTGTGTAATTTTTCTTCCATGCAGAGTTGCTGCACTGCTTTGCTTTTTATATTTTTAATATTTATGATGTTATAAAAAAAATATTTTAGAGTTTTTGGGTTTTTTTGGTTTTTTTATATATGCTTCACCAGTTTACTTAAATATGTAAAATGATTAGTTTTATAAAGAAATTAACATATTTAAAACTGTTAAATTACAGATGAAATATGTGATAAGGTAGATTTCATGTTTCTGATTATTACTATAAATGTTAAATTTAATGGATACATATGTTTCAGTGGGTATTTCTTATTTTTAAATAGCATTATTAATGTCTACTGACATGGGAATAAAGTCTTAAGAAAATTTGTCTTTTTTATTTCAATGCATATTTTCTTAAGACTTTATTCCCAAAGTTTCCACTGCCCAGGCTAGTAGACATCAATTCAGTTACGTGCCATGTGTGATACATGCTTAGGCGAGCATATATCTTTCGATGCATGACTGACAAGGCAGATTTTTTTTCTTCCCGTGATAGGCTGCCATTTCTTTCTGTGGTAGACCAGTTGCCATCCAAGGCTATAGAACCTGGTTTGTCCTGCTATTTACCCATAGCTAGAAAGAGAATAAGAGTTTTCATACCTTTCATAAGGGTATTAGAATATAAGTGAATGTAATGGATTTGAACTCGGCTCTCTGATTCCAAGCCGCTATCCATTACTCCATCAATTACACTTCTTTTTTGTTGTTCTTTTAAAAAAGTACAAGTCTATTCAAACACACGTGTGATGATGTGATTCCGTATGTCACTGCACAAAGCTGTGATGACATCCAAGGCCAGCTGCATGCAAATACACTGGTGCTCGCTATGTTCCAAAGATTCATCTCAATATTAGGGCCATGATTGACATCAACAAAGAATTAACATCAGATGCTTTTCAAGACACTTGTTTGGTTAGGAAGTAGCAAAAAATATACACTTAACCGGCAGTGTCTTCCTTCTGTTTTGAGAAAGAAAACTTCTGCTATCTGACTTCTTGCTGAGTTCCAGCCATAGAAATCGAACCCCTACAGACTCGCTGCTCGCCCTTTCACTGACTGCCCCTTCGCTTACTGTCCGATTCATTATACTGATACTGGCTTGGATACCCGCCACCCCTTTCTGTCCACTTGTGTTCCACCAACCAGAAAGGGGGACCACTCGGACAGATTCTGGGTGGTCAGTTTTTTCAAAGAACTTTATTTTTATGGCTATCTAAAATTGCAAACAAAACTTTGTTTGGCGATTCAAAGGTGAGCTGAAAACAGGACTCCTGAAAAATTCAGGTCATTAAATTTACTCAAAGATGGGCTGAGAAACCCAGGTCATTAAATTAAAAAAGAATCTATCTTTTCATCTTCTAAGGATGTTTGAGAAATCATATTGCTACACATGTATCTACTAAATATAATGTTTATAGCAATAAAAGATAATGTCAGATTATAAAAAAAAACAAAACAATTAATTCATTAAAATTATTTATTATATATTACATACATCATCTTAACAGTAACAATAAAATGGTTGGCACATATAACTAGAAGTTTTCAATTCTCAGCTTACTGACTCTGACTTTTCTCCATGCTGTGTCAGTCAGCCAGCAATGTTCTAATTGTAAACTTGTAACAATGTTTTTTCATAGCTAAAGGGGTTGTTACAAGTTTGTAAGTTTACAATTTTTTTAACACAATAAAAGCAGCAATATTTTAAAAATCAGGTAAATATAATAATCAACTTTGTTATTTTATAACCAGTTTTCAAAATAATTGATATATTTTATTTGTCTATTTTATTACATTCCTATAAAATTTAGTGACAGTCCAGCCCCTATAATTGGTTAAATTAATACAAACAATAAAAATAGATTCTTGGTGAGCCTTTTTATATAAGATTCTGTTTCGTCCTTTTCAGTTCTGCAAGCTATTAATGATGACAGCAGCCAAGTGCCCACATTGTTGACTGATTACATTCTGAAAGGTAAAGATATTTTGTATTTTTTTCACAAGTCCTGGAATAAGAATTTAAACATTTTGTGAATAGAAACATGTTTGGTCTTCACTCAAAGAGGAAATAAAAATCTCAATTAGAATATATTAGAAAGCCTTGATTTTAAAAGCACATTATTTTTTGCTGAAGATCAGGAACTGACAATGAAAACACAAAGGAACTTTAAATTCAATGATTCTTTTTCTGTTTGTCATTTTAAGTTCATCTAGACTGTCAGATTTAATTATCCAAGTCAGTATTTTCACAATAAAATTGATATTAACCTACATACATACATACATACACAGTAGTGATATTTATTTTTTTTTTTGTTGAGACTGGACCAGGGTTAAATTCACAACACAAGGTAGGTCCTGTCTGACAAATGCAAGGTGTTACAAAGCTGGATGCTCTTCCTGATGCCCGACTCAGACACTTACAGTAGTCCAAGTGCACCAAATGTTTTTATTGGAACACCATCTCTCGGAAGGTAGCCATTGAAGGCTTGAGACCCCATCCTAGCATTATATATAAAGAAAAGTACACTTGAGGTCTAGTTAACCAATGAAAAACAAACAACACAAAACTAAAAAATAATAGAACTTTCTCTTCCATATTTAATTTTCTGAGAAAGGTTTAAATTTACTTAAATCATGTCAATTTTGCATCCCTATGAAAATGGAAGATTATAAGGTGCTTTGCTAAGTTTAGAGTTGGTGATTATAGCCTTATTGATGAAGAATGCTTGAGCAGATCCCCCACCCCCACTAATGATGACCAAATCAAGACACTGACTTAGAATAAACAGCATTATACAACACAGAAATTGGCAGAAACACTAAATTTATCAAAATATATCATTCATGAGCACTTTGTGGCAATTTGAGTACCCAAGCATCACTATGTTTGGGTACCACATGATCTGAGTGAAAAGAATTTTTTGAATCACATTTCATCTGTGATTTGCTATATAAAAGCAATGAAAATGCACCCTTTTTGAAGCAAATTGTGATGGGTGATGAGAAATGGATCATTTACAACAATGTTTACAATCCTAGGGTAAGCGACATGAGCCAACTTTAGCCACCTCAAAAGCTGGTCTTCATACCAAGTCATGCTGTGTATCTGGTGGGATTGGAAAGGTATCCTGTACTATGAACTTCTGCCAAGTAATCAGTCGATTCTCAAAAGTACTGCTCACTACTGCAATTCAAGAAAAGGGTGTTAGACATTTTCATGATGGTCGTCTTCGAGTATAGAATCCAGAGGTTGGCAGTGAATATTTCGGAGACAGTAGGAAAGTGTAGTGCAAGGTAGCAGAGCGTAGTTCTTCCGTCTGTCCTGTTTGCCGGACAAGTTGCCTCTGGTCATTCCAGTAAGAAAACAAAGATGGCCGCCTTTATACACGACGGATACAGTGTTGTGCGTCTTCTGATTGGTCAACCTTCTATTGGTCGACTATAAAGGTAAATAAGTCATTTTGACTCGCTCACTAGTTATATACAGTATATACCCAAAAAACTGTAACAGCCCTCCTTATTTTGGGTATATTCTGGAATCTTGCTTCAAAATATTAGTAAAGTTAATAAATACTTTAATTCCAAAAATTATATATTTTTTTTTTTTTTTTTTTTTTAAGTTAATATTAATATGTAACAAATACTTTAGTATTCTAAATTTTATTTCTTAAAGAAAATTAGTATCCACAAAAATTAGTCATATCACTTTATCCGCAGTTAAGTACTTCCCGGGTTAATAAAACATGAATAACAATATCATAAGTTCAGACCGCGATCACAACAAAAAGTGGAAAGAATTGTTACTTTACCCATAACTGGGACCCATTAAAACAGTTACTATCACTCCAGGTCAGAGTGATCCAGAGAATCATTAGAAAGTACAAAATTGTTATTTTATCCATAGCTGGGACCCATTAAAACAGTTACTATCACTCCGGGTCAGAGTGATCCAGAGAATCATTTAGAAGATGGATTTGGGCTGAAAGTAGGACCATTTACATTTACACCCCGAAACTAAGGACTTACATTCATACCAAAAACTGAACGGACGCTTCTTAGGACAGTAACTAATGGATGCAGTTTACGTCCTACCCAGGACCTTATAGGGACTTAACGGATGGATGCAGGTTTGAGGACTAACAGGGACTTAATGGATGCAGTTTTATGTCTTGCCCAGGACCAATGAGGACTAACAGGGACTTAATAGATGCAGTTTTACGTCTTGCCCAGGACCAGTGAGGACCTTATTGGTCAGTACCAAATATGGCAGAAGTGAAAGCCTGTAATTTGATTTTCGTAATTGGTTTTGTAAATAAATCTGCCATATTATTTCCCGATTGAACATATTCAATTTGTACCATTTTCTTTTGTACTTGGTCCCTAACAAATTGATATTTGATTTCGATATGCTTTGATCTTTGATGTATTATTGGATTTCTGGCCAAAGCAATACTGGATTGATTATCGCAGTAGATAATTATTGGCTCAGTTATTACCAGTGTTTTAACGGTTTCTATTAGTAATTTAAGAAAAATAGCCTCGTGTTGCTTTTGATATTCAGCTTCACAGGTAGAAAGTGAAATCATCCCCTGTTTCTTCGATTTCCAGCTGATTATTGGGTTACCGTCAGCTAGCTTAAAGCAATAGCCTGTTATACTCTTACGATCTGGTGAGTTGGCCCAATCAGCATCACAAAATCCTTCCAATTTCAATGGTTTATCTGCTTGTCGAAATACTAGGCACCAACTCTTAGTTCCCTTTAGATAACGTAATACTTGTTTAGCCCTCGTTAAATGCACAGTCCCCGGTTTATTTAAGTGTTGGGACAACTTAGTAACCGTATAGCAGATATCTGGCCTAGTTGATGTCATCACGTAAATAAGACTTTCGACCAATGTTCTGTATTCTTTCTCACACGCTGCTATATCATCTTCCTTATTCATAATTGTGTTTAAATCCATTTCACATGGAGTAGTTCTTGTTTTGCAATTTTGCATGTTAAATTTAGATAAGAGTCTCTCAATGTATCTAGATTGATTCATTGTAATAGTGTTGCCTTTAAATTCGAACTGTATACCAAGAAACCATGATAGTCGACCCAAATCGGTCATTTTAAACCTTATTTCCAGGGAATTTTTGATTTTTAATAGAGCGGTCTCGCACTTTGATGCAATTAACATATCGTCGACCCAAATAACCAGAATTACTAATATTTCATTATTAAATGTTCTCGTGTATAGACATGGGTCAACTTGGGAGGATTGGAATTGCTGTTCTATTAAATAAGAATGGATTAGTTTATTCCATGTTCTGCTGCTCTGTTTAAGTCCATATAGTGACTTTTTAAGTTTCCATACATAATTATCGCCTTCTTTAAAGCCTTCTGGCGGTTCTATGTATATCTCATAATCGATGGCAGCATTCAAATAAGCTGCTTTCACATCCATATGGTGTATATCCATACCATAATGTGCGGCCATTTGCATCAGAATTCTAATTGTTGTCATGTTTGTTGTTGGACTGAATATTTCTACATAATCTTCCCCGTATATCTGCAAAAATCCTTTAGCTACAAAACGAGCCTTGTATACTGGCGATCCATCCTCAATACGCTTTTACATTATAAACCCAACGGCTGCCAATAATATTTTTATCATCCGGTGTTTTTTTAATTCAAACGGTCGTTTGATACTAATGATTTAATTTCTTTTTCGCATGGCAGCCATCCACCGTCTAGCATTGATAGAATGTATGGCCTCTTGGTAATTCTTTGGGATACATTTTACCGAATAACAATAATCAATGTCGCAGGTATTACATTGATCCATTCCAAAATAATCTGGGTTTCTTCTATTTCTTGTCGGATAACGCGGAATTTTTCCCCCCTCATCAGTTATATTTTCTTTTAACTCGAGTTTTGCGTCCGATTTTTCCTCGTCTACAACATCTGGTGTAATACCTTCCTCTGATTGTGGATTTTGAACGGGTTTTCCACTCATAGGCCCATAATTGGGCCATACTTGTTCGGGTTGGACTAGTTCGTCGCAGTTAATATTCTTTTCTTCGGGTTCCTCCCCTCGCTCAAAGGAATCTGTAAATCTGATGCATCTAATCTTCCTTATTGTTTTAGTTTGTGGAAAATAAATTATATAGGCTGGACTTGTCTTATCATACCCAATAAATATGCCCCTTTCACTTTTTGGATCTAGTTTCGCCCTGTGGTCGACAAATTGTACCAAAAATATGCATATCACTCACATTAGGCTTAAAGTTTGTATAAGCTTCGTAAGGAGTTTTTTAATGTTACTATTATAGCAGCGGTTTCTTATATATACCACTGTGTTTAATGCATAAACCCACAGATTTTTAACAAACATCTAGCCATTTCAAACAGTGTCCTTCAACTGCACTCAGCGACTCTGTTCTGATGTGGAGAATAAGAACAGGTTTTCTCATGTTTAATGCCTTCATTTATTAGGAGGTTTTTGTAAGCATCAGAAGTAAATTCTCCACCATTATCTGTCCGAATTATTTTTACTTTTCCATACGGGGAGATATCTGATAAATAGATTTTTGTAGCTCGCAGTGTGTCAGATTTATTTTTCAGAAAATATATCATAATAAGTCCTGAATATTCGTCAACAAAGTTTTAATATATATGAATAGGTGTCAATACCCTTTGGGGTAATTGGACCCTTAAAATCGTAATAAACTCTGAACAAAATATCTGTTGCTTTTGGGATCCGACCCGCTCTCTATATTTCGTCATTTTCCCTTTAATACACGTGTCACAATACTGTAAGCCCTTCGGAAGTGTAATTTTCATTCCAGTGACGTGTTCTTGTAATCTTTTAACATCCGAATCATTACAGTGGCCCAATATTTTATGCCAAGTTCTTAAGTCGTGCGTGGCTGACTTCGCAGACTTAATACTTTTCAAATAATACAAACGTCCATTTTGCTGTATATTAAATTCAGTTCCATCTGGATATATTAACTTTGAATTGTTGCGGTGAAAATTGATTTTAACGCCAGTTTCAATTGCAGACTGAACTGAAAAAATATTTTGCTTAAATTTTGGAATATATAAAGCCCTTCTTAATAAACATTTACAAACATTTCCCTTAGTATTGCATAGATAAATACAGGCATCGCCTCTTTTCAAAACTAAATTATTAGCTCTGGTCCCATCAGCTAACTCGATAAAATGTGAGTCGGGCTGAAAATTGGGGTCAAAACTAACAAATTTTGTTTTATCTGTAATTACATGATTTGTCGCACCCGTATCGATCAAGTAAGAATTAGAACTACTGGCCACAGCACCCAATCCAAACGAAAAGGCATATGTACGTCCCTTCGAAGAAGTTTTTACATTTTTACAATAGTCATTCCGTGTATAAAATTGACATTTCGCACGAGTATGGCCGACATTACCACAACGAAAAAACAAACGATATCTCCTTTAGTATATCTTCCTTTATAATTCCTGTAATAATTGTCTCTAAAGCCCTTGTTCTTACTCTCATAATTCCTAGCCTGATCGCTTTGAAGAACTGGTTTTCTGAGTTTTTTAAATGACGTTCTTAATTGTATGACGTTATTGCCTTGATTTTGGGGGGTACACATTTTTCAGTTTCTTCATAGCTACGTAACGCCATTTTAAACTCAGTGAAAGTTAGTTGTTTATCTTTTTGGGTTATAACTGTCATAAATGGTTTGAATGACGGTGGCAAACCCTTCAAGACCATGGCTATTAGCAGCCCATCCGAGATAGTTTCACCTGCAATTTTTAAAGCATTCGTAACGTTCTCTGCTCGAATAATGTAATCTGTTATAAATTCGTTTTCTCGTCTTTTCAATGCGGTTAGTTCCGTATATAAGGAAATAATTTTAGGCTTACCTTTTGACAAATAGTGTTCACGCAAAATCTGTAGAGCTCTTCGGCCATTGTCCTTGGCTTCTCTCATTATTAAAGACAAACTCCGGTCATCCAGGACTGAAATGCGACCATTTTCGCTGAGTTAATTCAACTCAGCGAAAACGGTCTCATTTCTTTCCATGAAATCATCCCCCTCCTGGTCGAGTTTGCAAAGGATGATATCATGGAGTTTTTGTATTCTGAGGTAGCCCCAAAACTTTGTCTCCCATAATTCATATCTCGATTCATTTCCGTCAAAATATAATCGTGATCTGGGCTCATAACCACTGTTAGACATTTTCATGGCGGTCGTCTTCGAGTATAGAATCCAGAGGTTGGCAGTGAATATTTCGGAGACAGTAGGAAAGCGTAGTGCAGGTTCGCAGTGGATATCACAGCAAGGTAGCAGAGCGTAGTTCTTCCGTCTGTCCTGTTCGCCGAACAAGTTGCCTCTGGTCATTCCAGTAAGAAAACAAAGATGGCCGCCTTTATACACGACGGATACAGTGTTGTGCGGCTTCTGATTGGTCAACTATAAAGGGAAATAAGTCATTTTGACTCGCTCACTAGTTATGTACAGTATATACCCAAAAAACTGTAACAAAGCACCCAGAATTGGCGAACAGGAAAGTTGTTGTTTTCCATCATGATAATGCCAGTGACCCAGCAAAAATTGTTGCAGCTTAACTGGGATGTGTTACAACACCCACCCACCCACCATATTCATCCAACACTGCTCCTTCAGATTTCCATTTATTCAGCTCCTTGCAAAATAATCTTCAATGGTAAAAATTTTAATTCTTTGGATGACATAAAACACCACCTTAAGGAGATATTGGCCAAGAAACAACCAAAATTCTGGGAAGATGGAATCTAAGTTGAAGGAAAAATGGAGAAAGGTTGTGCAACAAAATGGTTCACATTTAGTTGAATAAATATTTAATGGCATAATTTTGTTTTGTATTTTAATTTCCCTTAAAAATCGGCATGAACTTTCCAGACAACCAACTACTTTCATGATAGTTGTTCAGATGAGGTCTCTGCTATATTAGCAGAGAGCTCATCTGAACAGACTTTTGAATTTAAGCGCAGTACTGGACTGGCATCAAGATCTCATCAATTTACAGTTGAGCTGGCTTGATGTAGCCATAAGTTCTATGCTAACAGATTTTTCTTGCACTTCTCACTTGTGAAACTTCCTTCCAGCTCCATGCTTAGTTAAATTTAATCTTAAAAAATTTAAATGCAATGTCATTTGCTATCTACTGTCTTCCTGATTATGCTTTTCTTTTCCTGCTCATTATTAATGTTTCTATTCCTGATTCTACTGCACAATGTAATCCCTTGTATCTTAGTAGTTTTATTGCCTTGCATCGGGCAATACCTATTTTTTTCTTTTTAAACAAACGGGTAAATTTTTTGAAGAAGTTAGTTGCTACATTGGAGGGCTCTGATGGCTGAATTACAGTTTGGGTCCAATATGGAAATAATCAACCAACACCAACTTCTGCAAGACAAACTATTACCCACTTTGCCAAAAACAGATTTCAAAGAGACCAAATGAATCAAAATACTTCCAGCATCTAAGTAAAGAATAAGCATTATTTGAATTATAGGATATTTGTAATCATTTATCTATAATTGGATGTTAATGATTTTTTTTTTTTTTTCAGTTTTGTGCCCAACGTAGAGAGTGCATGGTCTCAGCATGTGTCATCATTTTGGCAGTGAGGAGGAGGACTGTGTGTGCATTGACGTTGTCAGCAGCTTCCTGAAAAGAAAATCAAAACAAAAAACTAAAAAAAAAAATTAAAAAATTGCCTCCTGTGTTAGTAATGCAACTGTATCCATGGCAACTCTTTTACTATTACTTCTACAACAAAATTTCTTCTTCTCCTCCTCCTCCAACTTCTGTCTTCATCGTCAGTTGGCTGATTCTTAACACTTACAATACTTTTCCCCACTGACCACTTTAAACACCAGCTGCAACTCTCAAATACAAAACTTTTAATCTTAAGCCAAAAATGGCTTAAGTCAGTGTCTTTTTCGCCTAAACAAAAATGTCTGAAAAATTTTACAAAAACTGGATACTTTCCAGTTGTGGCACGTATGTGCCTCCATAATATTAGATTTAAAAAGAGAAAACAAAAACATTTATTAATCTTACATAAGTGGACTTTACATTTATTATTATGATTATCTTCATTATATATTACTATTTGGTGACTCAGTTTTTCACACATTAGTGTGACCCACCCCCCTCCCGTCTCTTTTTTATTTTTTATGTTGATAAATGCCATCACACCATAGCCATAACCTTTTGTTCCATCATTTTTTTCCTTACTGCAAATTTTGAATATAAGTTTTGAGTCTTGCTATTTTACAATGAAAATAAAATCAATAAAGAGAAGCACATTATTTGCTAGTCTGTATTACCAATAACTAATAATCTTAAACAAATAAAATTTCAAACCAACAAAATTAAATTTTATCTTGAAGGAACATCTTTCCTTTCACACTTTATTTTTTGTCTTGGACTGGATGCATGTAATGCAAACTTACATTCTTTTTGGTGCTGAAACTTTTTTTTATTCCTAAATTTGCAACAACTTCCCAAATGTTTTATTTGGAGATTTTTCTTTCTTAATATGAAGCTGTACAGTATATAAATCCTATAAGTAAAATTATTAAAAAAGAAAACTGTTATTAGTAGTACAGGTTGAGTATCCTTTATCTAAAAATTCAAAAGGTTTTCAGGTGTTTACATGCCACAAATGGAAAATTTCAGGAAGCACTGGAAAGGTTCCTAGGTAATGTGCAGCTATTGTAAGTGAGATCATCTGCCCTGGGTAGGGAATTCCCCAGTCCAGCTACATAGCCACCAGTTTTTTGTTAGAGATTATCACAGCAACACCTTTGTTCATGGATTACTTACCAGATGTTTTGTGTTCAGTAAAGATATTACTCAAAAAGACCTGCAGATACCCATATTGGTAGTGAAAAGAAAAAAAAAAAAAGCATTTATATTTATCAAAATCACAGAAAGTCAAATTGTTGGAAAAACTAGGCAGAGTTGTAAGTATGAAGCATCTGACTGAGGAGTTTGGTGTTGGAACAACCATATATACAACATAAAGAAACTGAAATTGTTAAAATTTCATGCTGAAAGCAATGAACAGAAATTAATGAAAAATAGAAAAACGATGATCTCGATTATGTATTGCTTGATGGAGTGCATTAGCCAACATCAGAGTGAACATGCTGCTTATATAAAAGTTTTATAAACGGCATATGTTCACTGATGAAACTAGATTCAGGGTATATGTATAAGCTGTGTTATGAAATGTAAAGAGATATTGTGTTTATGCTTGAGTTCCATTCCCAAGTTGTCCCATTTTATAAATAAATAGCCTGTATTAAAAAAAAAATCTGAAAACCGAAGCATTTCCGGTCACAAGAATTTCAGATAAAGGATTCTTAACCTGTACCAGTAAACTACTACTTAATTCTTGTTTTTTTTTTTCTTCTCTTTGATAATCTTAAAATAATTTCACCTAAGTTATTAAACAGTTGCAAAAATCAAAACAAAAAATTTAATAACTGAGTAGATTTTTTTATACTTTCCCTGGGCAAAATTTATAAAAATTATTTCACTTAAAATTCAATCACAAATTGATAATTATTGATACTAATAAAACTTACAGTATTTCCTTTCTTTCCAGTGATACTCAGATAAAATATTTTAGAATTAATATTTGATAATTAGCTACTTTATTTGCATATTTATATTTAGATTATGCTCTAACAATTTGATTGAACCACAGTTAAAACAAATCTTGTCATTAATAACCGGTTAAAACTAGCAAAAAAAACTGAGGTTACCTTCTTTAGATTTCCCCCAACTTTTAAGCTGGTAATCACATAATGTACACTGCATGGAAATAGGTAATTATATTTAAAATACCCAAACTCAAGATTTATTGATATTATTATTTATAAAGGAAAAAATTGATCATCACAATCATGTTAAAATCCATCAATACATCAGTTTTGTGTATTTAATTTTGAAAACAAAAAAATATGGGTACCTCCACATTCGTGATACCTAAATGAAAAATCTTGAAGCTTTTATTTTAGTTTTAATTTCAAGCTGATAAATTAAATTTAATATTTTCAATAAGTAAAATACTATGCTGTATTTCAAAACTAAATTGATTGAAAGGGGATTTTTCAATTTAAAATTTCTAAAAAAAAAAAAAAGTTCCATGCCATTTTTTAGCAAACTTATAAAAATGTAAATCTCTTTATTAAAAAATTTTCCCCAAAATAAAATATACTTTGCAGAAACTTTATTTGAGCAATATTAGCTGATTTAAAGTATAATTAATCTGACCTGAAACAACTATTTCTACTTTTATTCAATAAAAAATGTAGTTTTATTACGTTTTTATTTTATCAGAGCAGATTTTCGGTAAGACAGGGTTCAATTTTACGAGGAAAAAATTGATTTAAAATTCTCCAGACATCACTAAAAATTATCGCGTTGAATTTCAAGTTTTCATAAAATTAAGTGGGGTGTTAAAAAAAATTTGTGTTAATTTCAATTTCATTCATTTGTGAATAAGTCCAAAAAGTTTCATTAAAATCCTACAATTATTTGATTTTTGAAAGAATTTCCAAATTAATATCTTTCACTGCAAAAAAAAGTATAAAATAATTTACTATGCTAATTTATTCACAGGCTCAAGAAAAATGATTTTTAATCAAAATTTTGAATGTCCTAAAAATGGTTATTAAAAAAATTTAATTAAATATTCAAAAAATATTTTGATCTTTCCTCTTAATAAGGATTTTGATAAAACTTTCTTTTTCATTAAATTTGAAGCATTTTTCCATCACGATATGCTAACTTTTCTAGTGATTTTGTGGCGGTACCTATAAATTCAGATATAACTAAAAAGATGTTAAAAAAAAAAAAAAAAAAGAATACAGACTAAAAGTTGTTAGTCAAAATAAGTTTTCCTTTGATTTTTTATTTATTATATATATATATATATATATATATATATATATATATGAATCCAACAGAATAAGAAATAAATATAAAAAGTGGAACAGATTGATAAAACGTTTCCTATTTGTTCTTTATAGCCACATCTTTAAAACATTTGTTTTCTCTTTGATTAAATTGGTCTCCTGAAAATTATCTTAACGAGTTTGAATTATAATCAAGTTTTGCTTAAAATAGTTTCTTTGTGCAAAACATAAATGGATAATGTGTGTAATATATATATATATATATATATATATATATATATATATATAAAAAGTTTGAACAGTGAAACTCAATTATCTGATCAATCAAATGCTTGTTTGAGAAACTAAATAAAATGAATGACAAACCACTTTTGTAATATTATGCAGTTAATCTGGAAATTGTGGAGAGCTAAGATCAACAATTCTTTGGAATATATGCCTCCCCTCATCAGATATTTATGTTCTTAATTGTTCTCAAGTATCTGTTGTGCATGCTTTTTGTGTTTATGCATGTGTGAGTGCTTTCAGTACTTTATCTGACTGACTTATGAGCGGGTGCTGAAAAGTTCTTGGCCTGACCCAGACAGGATTTAAAGTCCTAATTCTGATGTTTACTCATTTGGCCAGATTTTAGGAAGAGAGTCCAACTGAGAATTTCTCGCTCCCCACCTGGATATTTACTTCTTTGTATTCCTGTCTCCTCTTTTCTTGCATACTCACCTTTAATCATCACAATTTTTTTTTAGGTTAGCTTAACATTTTTATATTTTTTCCACCTCTATTTTTTTATGCTAATTTCTGTCCTACAATGAAAAGAAAGCATTGTTTCTTTTTTAACCAGCTAGTTGTTTCGAGCTTTTCACAGTAATGCTTGTTTCAGTTTTCTAAAATCTGTAATGCCAAATTGGCACAAATATTAAATAATGCTTTAAGGTTGTATCAAATATAAAACAATTCAAACCAATTAATTTGAATAAAAACAAAATAAAAACAAAAATTTTTTTCTTTCATTTTTGACACAATGAGTGAAATTTCCTAGACTACCAGCCATTCTTTCTTGGAAAGTTTTTTTGATTTATCTTTACTGAAATATCAGCATTTTTGCTCTCATAAGCCTTTTTATACAACCTATAAAAGGCTGTTAACATTGGAAAATATCTTCCCTAAGTTTGATTTATAATAAAAAAAAAAAAAAAAATCCCTACATTTACGCCATTGAGACTAGGAAAACTTTTTGTTGACTGTCGTTTTACTTTCAATCGGACTTCCCCTCTTCATTTCACTTATAAATACATACTTTTTTGGCTGTTCAATATTGGACTAGAGTATAAAGGTAATGTAAAGAATACATAATCTCCCCCCCACACAGGGAAGAATTAATGAATTATGAAAGGCTTTTGTAGTGATTATGAAATTTAAAAAAAAAAAAAAAAATAAAAAATTACAACTAATGATTGAGTAAAAATTGTTCCTAGATCAATCCTAGTAAATATTGCCCCTCTGGAATATTGCTTATGCATCAAATTTCTAATTCTCTAGAAGATTATGAAAATAATTAGGTAAGAATATCAAAATACATCTCCAGATTCAGAAGTGTTTTTTTTTTTTTTTTGTTTTTTTTTCCATATCAGTCATAGGTGCTACTTAAAGACT